CAAGGCCAGCCTGAGCTCCATAGTGAGCTCAAGGCTATATAGTGACTCTGTCTCCAAAAAGAAATTGGCAAGCATTCAGAGACAGGAATACTATCACCTAACACCCTATCTCTCCATCAAATAAATTAGGTTATGCTGTTTCAAGCACACTTAGAAAATTCTCCAGGGCCGGGGATTTAGCTCAGTGATTTCACCACCTGCTGCGCAAGTGCAAGGACCCAAGTTCGATCCCCGGTACCAAAAAAAAAAGAAACGAAAACTCTCCAGAGTAAACTGGGCATGGTGGCACATACCTGTAACCTCGGCACTCTAGGAGGATGAGGTGGGAGAACTGCAAGTTGAAGCCCAGCCTCGGCAATTTAATGACTTAGCAAGACCTTGAATCAAAATGAAAAGTGAAAAATGGCCAGCATCCTAGGCATAGTAGTGCACGCCTATAATACCACTCAGGAGGTTGAGGCAGGAGCGTCATTGGGAGTTTTAGGCCAGCCTAGGCTACATAGTGAGACCCTGCCTCAAGTAAACAAAACAAAACAAACCACCACCAACAAAAAAAGGACTGGGAATGTAGTTTAGTGCAAAGCCTGTAGTTTGAGCCCTCGTACAAAAGGTGGTGGTGGGGGGAATTTCCCACAGTAGATCATTTGCTAGGTCATAGAACCAATTTCAAATAGTTACAGAAATTAAAATCATCAAAAGCATGACCTCTAACTATAACGGAAAGAAGCTAGAAGCCAATCCTAAAAGGACACTTAGGAAGTTCCTAAATACAGAGAAATTAAGCAACATATTTCTGGATGACCCCTGTGTGTCAAAGAGGAAATCCAAAGAGAACTGAGAAAATTTCTTGAGCAGAATAAAAATATAAACACAAGATATAAGAATGTGTGGCCTGTAGCTAAGCCAGTAATGGAGGGAAGCTGGGATATTTAAATACACATTAGCAAGGATGAACGATCTAAAATCAACACCGACCTTCCACTTTAAGAACTAGAAAGAAGGGCTGGGGATTTAGCTCAGTGGTTCTGTTGCCTGCCTCACAAGCACAAGGACCCGAGTTCGATCCTCAGTACCAAAAACAAACAAACAAACAAACAAAAAGAACTAGAAAGAAGAGTGAATCAATCTCAAAGTAAATACAAAAAAAGGAAACAATAAAGATCTGAATGCAAATTAATGAACTAGAAAATATAAAAATATTAGCAAAAAATCAGTGAAGGCAAGTTAATGGCTTGAAAAGATCAACAAAACAAGTATACTTTAGCTTGACTAGGGACAAATGACAGAAGACGCAAATCGGAGACCGAGAATGAAGAAAGGAAGAATACTAGTGACATAGAGAAATTAAAAAGAAGCTGGCTGTGGTGGTCCATGCCTGTAAATCCAGCACTCTGAGAGGCTGAAGCAGGAGGCTTTCAAGCACGGAAAACTGATACACTATTGGCTTGGACTCTGGAAACACTTCCTGCCAAGGACTTTCCGTTCCTGTGCCCCAAAGCCCCTTAGCCACCTTGCCCAGCAACCCTTCAGGTCCCACCCATGTACGCCACCTTAGCTAGAAAACTGAGATAGGTTGGAACCTTTGAGCCAGCCAATAGGGAGAAGGTCAGCTACTCCCCACTGTTAGGACATACAAGGAACCTATTGCTGCAGCTTGGTGTGCCTGCCACCTCACCTTAGGGATGTAGCACGCTCTCTGGCAGAAATAAACTTGCCTTGTTGAGATTTCTTGGTGTCTAAGTGTTTTATTTCTCCACTGACAAACTAAGTCTGGGGCTTATTGCCAGCACATGTTAGAGCCCAGCCTGGCCAACTTAGCAAGATCCTCTCTGATAATAAAAAATAGAAATAGCTAGGGTTGTATCTTAGCACAGAGACCCTGGGTTCACTCTCCAGTCTGCAATAAATAAATAAGCAAAAATCTTGGACAAAATATTAAGAAACTGAATTCAGCCTGTGTATAGAAATGATTGTACTCATAATTAAGTAATATTTAAACCCAAAATACAATGTTGGTTTAGCAACAGAAAATCAAATTGTGTATAAAAAGAAAACCACAGGGGGCCAGGGATTTAGCTCAGTGGTGCCACCACCTGCCTCACAAGTACAAGGTCCTGAGTTTGATCCCCAGTCCAAAGCGCACATACACGCGCGCGCGCGCACACACACACACACACACAAACACACGAAAATCTCAACAGATACACTAAAATAAAATCCAATCTATGGCCATATCACCCTGAATTCAGCCGATCTCGTTTGATCTCAGAAGCTAAGCAGGGTTGGGCCTGCTTAGTACTTGGATGGGAGAAAATCCAGCATCCATTCATGATTAAAAAAAAAATTTACACCAGGTGTGGTGGCACATGCCTGTAATCTCAGCACTTGGGAAGCTGAGGCAGGAGGATTGTCATGAGTTCAAGGCCAGCCTGGGCTACACAGTGTGTTCAAGGCCAGCCTGCACTGTATAGTGAGACCTTGTCTCAAAAAAACAAAACAACAAAAAAAGAAAACTACAAAATATTAATGACAGAAATTTTGAGGATCAAAATAAATATATATTAAGTTCATAAATTATAGGATTCAATATTGTTAAGATGTCAGGGCCAGGAATTTAGCTCAGTGGTTCCGGCGCCTGCCTTGGAAGCTCAAGGTCCTGAGTTCGATCCCCAGTAACAACAACAACAAAAAAGATATCAGCTCTACCGAAATTGATTTATAGAGTTGATACAATGCTAATAAAAACCCAGCAGACTTTTTTGGTAGAAACAGAAATACAATTTTTAAACAAATACTAATTTTTAATAAATACTTATTTTTATTTTTTTGTTATTTATTAAAAAAATTTTTTTGTACCAGGGATCAAACTCAGGACCTTGTGCTTGTAAGGCAGGCAGCAGCACCACTGAGCTAAATCCTTGGCCCACAAATACTTATTTTTAAAAATAACAATGGGCCAGGCCCATTTCAGGTGGTGGTGCACTCCTCTAATCCCAGCACTCTGAGAGGCTGAGGGGGAGGATTTCAGCCAGCTTTGGCTGCATGGTGAGTTTAAGATGAGCCTGAACTACATAGCAAGACCCTGTCTCAATAAAACCCAAAATGCAGACAAAAGCCTCCCACATACCGACTGTAGAGTGGTGGTGAAAATCAGGAATTCACAGCAGAGGCTGTCCTCTAATCCACAAACTCGTTCCCCTGTTCCGAGTCATGCCAACAACGTCTCACATGTCACTGTATCATTTGAAACCTTTCCCCTAGGGATAGCTTTAGGAAAATGCTTGAAAATATTTATAAGTAATTAACACAGCCAAATAAAAACTCATTCAACATGCACCCAGGAGCCAGGCACAGTGGCGCATGCCTGTTTTCCCCAGCACTCTGGGAGACTGTGGCAGGAGGATCACAAGTTCAAGACCAACCAGGGTGATTTAGTGATTTAGTGAGACTCTTGTCAGAAAGAGAGGACAGAGAGACTGAGACAGAGAGGGATGTGGCTCAATACAAAGGCCCTGTATTCAATCCCCAGTACTGCAAAAAATCAACAATAATAAAAACAAAACAAAACAAAACTCTCCCCTGAGGACTAGGGAATCCAGACTTTCTCAGGTCCCTATTGTGGGAAGGAACCTGTCCCAAGCTCGGCCAACCCATTCCTGGACCGGGTGGGGGAAAGGAACCGCCCAGCCCGAGTCCCGGCCGGGCTAGAGTCAGGGACCCGCCCGCCTGTTCCCACCGGGCCACTGTCGCATTCAAGCGGAGTCCAGCTTCCCGCGCTCGCATTAGTTAAATTGACAAGGCCCATGGCGGCCGCCAGGGGGCGTCAGTCGCCTGCTGCACCAGCTCTGGGCACAGAGCCCGGGACGCCCCCACCGAGGCGCCGCTCGGCTCGCAGGTTCCGGAAAAGCGGCCGCGAGCCCCGACCTGGACTTCAGGGTGGCGGCGCAGGTTCGGGGCTCTGCGGAGCGCGCGCCCAGGATGCCAGGCTCGGGGCACACGCTGGCCCCGGCCCTACAAAAACCACCCCCCGGCACTAGGGGGGCCCAGGGACTCCTAGAGCCTTGAGTCGCACCTGATGTGGGGTCTGAGCTCGAAGACCCCGTCCCGCCCGCCGCAGTCACCCGGGACCTGGCGTGGCCGCGCGCATCCCGGGCCATCGCGTCTGCCCCGGGGAGGCGCAGGTGGGGACCTGTCCCCACGCGGGGCCTGGCCCAGCGGTGACGCCAGCGGGGTTCCCAGCCCCTCCCGGGACTCTCCAGGGTGGAGCCAGGGGACCGCGGTTCGAGAGAGACAGCGGGAGAGGCCGGACATCTGCTCGAGCGGGCTGGGTCCTCGGGTGACCAGGACGATGGCCGCCTGCTCCCCCCTTTTTTCCCCAGGGACCCACTGTGGCCACTGTTGACCCAGATGTGGTGCACCCGGATGTTCGGAGCCCCTCATGGCCCCAGAGGCCGGCACACCAGCCACCACCCACCTCCGCGGGTGGGTTGGCTCAGAGACCCGGCCAGCGTACTCCCTCCCCACACCCGGGCATTTGCCCTAACGGTTCGGGTTTGAAACCCGCTTCACACAGCAACTCCCTGAGAGACCCCGAGTCACTGTCCCCACTACTCCCCTCCGGCCGGGCCACTGAGGATAGAACCCAAGTCTTTCCCACTGTACGTTGCATCCCCTGCCCCTAGAATGAATGAATGAATGAATAAATGGTATAAATTTTCAGACCGGACCTGGGCCTGGTGACTTAGGCCTGTAATCCCAGCACTATGGGAATTCAGGTCCAGCCCGGGTAACTCTAAAATAAAATAAAAGGTCGGAAATATGGCTCAGAGTGAAGCATATAACTAACAGCTAAATTGCCCAGCCTGGGTTCCTCCAAGATATCTCCAAGAGATACATTTGCTTCAGCCTCCCAGAGTGCAGATTTACAAGGGCACCGCCTCCCCTGCTGCCTGGAATGTTTTGAGACTCAGTTTGCTCATATAGGAAGGGGACACAGCAGAGAAACTGCACGAAAGCACTTTATTTGCCATCCCAGGCTCCGTCCCCGCCCCCCCCAGCCAAGCAGGCTCCCCTCAGACCATCGTCACCGACTGCAGCTGCACGTCACCGGCCACCTCCAGCAGCCTCACATTCCCCATGGGCAGCCGGTGACGGAAGTGGTAATAGATGGTGTCCTCGACCACCGCCTGCAGGGAGGGACTCGGCTTAGGATCCCGGGGCCCAGGACGCAGTCCAGTCAGTCACAGAGCTGCAAGTGCTGTGTGGCCTGGACATCGCCCACCTCCGAGCCTCAGTTTCCTCAGTAACGAAAAGGTGATTAAACGTTAATTCTTTGTAGGTTTTGTCTTTTCCTGCACTGGGAATCAGTCAGGACTTTGCACTTGCCAAGCAGGCACAGATTCACTGAGCTAGCTCCCCGGGCCTTGTGGGTTTTAATTTTTACTCTTTATGTTGGGAGGGGGTGAGAAAAGGTCTGGCTATGTAGTTCAGGCTGGCCTCGAACTCACTACATATGTACCCAGGATGGCCTAGAACTGGGCACAATCCTCCTGCCTCAGCCTCCCAGATGCTAGGATCACAGGTGTGCACCACCGTGCCCGGCTTGGCTAATGTTCCTTGTAACAGGATCAACTGAGGCTCCTGTTCTGCACAGTACAAACGTGCTCTTTGAATGTGGGCTTGGTGTGATTGTCATCATTTCCGTGTCACAGCCCCCGGATGCTCCGCGGAAGCTCAGGGCCCGCACTGGGGCGGTGGAAGCTGTCGCCTCCGCGCCCCGCTAGGCGGCGCATCTGGGCACTGTCCCCACCCTCAGCAGAGCCCGGACGTCACGCGCCCAGGGCAGGGACAGGGTCTGGATGCTGGATCTGTGACCAGCCCACCCCCCCGGGGACACCCGCTCCTGGCCCTCACCTTGAAGCCGTCCTCGGTGGCGATGAGCAGCAGGTCGAAGGGCTGCCCCCGCTGGAACGGAAGCCCCATGCCGCGCTCCTCACGGCCCCATTTTCCACTGGCCTTGCTGTTCAACACGACCACAGCCTCGTCCATCCGCGGGTTGAAGTGCAGGGCGGCGTCCGAGTCCTGCCCCTCGCTGAGCAGCAGGTTCACGTGGAACCTGGGGGACAGTGGGCCGCAGGGCTCAGCAACCACCAGGCCTGGGACCCTCACTCCCCGTGTCCCCAGCGCCCCAGGTACAGGGACCAGGACAGATCCCACTGCCCAGAGGGGAGGCTGGACTCATGGCCTCGGGTCCCAGGTCCCCAAGGCAGCCAGAAGGTCCCGGGAGCCACACACTTCTGCCGGGACAGAGTCCCTGTGCTCGTGGCCAGGATGACCAGATTCCCAGGGAACCCCAGGTCCCGGGGACCAGGAGCCACACTTCCTGGGACACAGCTAATTCCAGGGTCCCCCAACCCCAGGAGGCCTCAAGTCCCACACCCAGGAGGTCACAGGCTTGGCTGGCAAGGCCAGCCGTTGCTTGGCACAGCCCTGGCCCTGCAGGCTCCTTCCAGAGTCCTGGAGTCTCAGAGCTGGGTCCTTAGGGACACTTGGGGACCAAACTACACGGTCGGGGGGCAAAGAGTGAGTGCATCATACTCAGAGTCAGAAAGGCCCTGGGATTCCAAGACTCTGCTGGCCACAGATGGCCCAGGGCCGCTGTCTCTGGCCTGCAAGGATTGGGGGTTATTTGAGCCTGGAGCCCCCACCCATCCCCTGTCCTGGGGTCTCACCTGCTGGCATTCTCAGGGACAGAGCCCCGAATTCTCATCACACTCCCCGCACGGACAGTGTCAGGCAGTGAGATCTTGTGGGGAACATTCTGCAAGGTTCAAAGTGGGGAGACATTGAACCGGGGGCGCAGGGAAAGGGACGCCATAGGGGAGCCCCTGGGACAGGAAATGCCAAGATGGAGCTGAGCACCCAGCAGAAGAGGAAAGGGTCCCAGAGAGGAAGGAAAGAGAGGCCCAGACAGGAAGAGAAGCAAGAAATACAGAGAAAACTGGTCCAGGAGAGAAACTGGGAGGAAGCCCAGGCAGGGGATGAGGCCCTTTGGGATAGGGTGGGACAGCGCCCCCATCCACTCCCTGAGCGTCCCAGCCTCGGTCCAGGTCCCCACCTGGCCTTGAGCACTCACCAGGCTCCCTGCCATGGCTGCACAGTGGACAGCAGCGGTGTGGCAGAGAGCTGCGGGGGCCCCTCAAGTAAAGGTGGGGTGGGGCCTCTGACTCACCCTGCCTCTTCCCCCTGCACCTACGCCTGGCACAGACCCTGGCCCTGGGGCAAGGCGGGCAAGGCGGGCAAGGCTGGGGCAGGTCTTCCTCCTGCCTGGCCCTGCATTTGCTGAGGGGCCCCGCTGCCCTGCCCCATCCCTGAGCGGGGAAGAATAGCGATGCCCTGCTCTGCTGCCTGGCCCACAGGGGCTGCTGCTGGGTGCACTGAACTTGGGGTGTGGAGCTGCCCTGGGCTGCAGCCCCAGCCCCCCTCAGCCCCCCGCCAGCCCCCCAGGGGTGTCACAGCCACCACAAGAGCAACAGTCGAGACTTGGGCTCCCGTGCTGTGTCCCTGTCCCCACAGCATCCCAGGCACATGATTGGTGCTCAGGGACTTGGGTGAAATGAGAGAGACAAAGGAACAGCGCTCTCCCCGAAGCCTCTGGGTCCCCAGATGTGCAGGCGTGGCTGACACAGCTGAGTGTGCAGGGCGTGGTCACTCTGTCCAGTGACAGCAGGTGAGGGTGGGTGGGAGCCTTTGACCCAAAGACCTGACCAGTCACGGGTTCCCCCTTGACTCTGGTGTGGGAATGAAGGAAAGTGGTGAAAGAAGTTTCTGGAAGTCAAGGAACAGGACTGGTGGGGACGGGAGGCTGGGCAGAAACTGCTCCCAGCGCCCTCAGCTCTCCTGTTGTCCCCTCCCCCCACTGATCCACACCTGCCCCACCCACCAGGTGGCACAGAGCCCCAGGGAGGTGCAGGCTGGGAGTGGGAGGTTGGGGTGGAGACACCAGTCACTGAGCTCCTTTTCCTATGCACCTAGACTCCCTGCCCCCTCTCCACACTCCAGGGCCTCCAGGGAAGGTCTAGTTTCAGGGACCAAGAGCTCAGAGAGGGGTCCCTGGCAGTCATATTAATGGGTGAGGTTGCCGAGCCCCCACTGTGCAGGTGAGAAACTGAGGTTAGGGAGGGGCTGTACCTCAGCCAGGCCACCTAACAAGGGAAGGGCAGATCCAGCGCTCCAGCCAGGGGTCAAGGCGGCCTTTCCTGACATTGACGAGCATCAACTTATACATTTCATATATTTATTTATTTGTTTTTGGTACTGGGGATCGAACTCAGGCCCTTGTGCTTGCAAGGCAGGTGGCGGAACCACTGAGCTAAATCCCCAGCCCCTAACTTATACATTTTACACAATCGGTTTTTTCGTTACTAAGGTTTGAATTGAGGACTACACTGAGCTATATCCCCAATCTTTAAATTTTTATTTATTCTTAAAATTTTGAGACAGGGTTTCCTACATTGCTAAGTTTCCCAGGCTGGGCTCATACTTGCAGTCCTACCTCAACCTCCCAGAGTGCTGGAATTACAGGCATGAGCCACCATGCCAAGCTTAAATAAATGTTTTGATAGCGCTCAAGGCTGGGAGTGTAGCTCAGTGGTAGAGCACTTGCCTAGCATGGTAAAGCCTTGGGTTCAATCCTCAGCATTGAAAAAAAAAAAACAAACTCGAACACATAAATTATGACTGGGCATGGTGGCACACACCTTGTAATCTCAGCACTTGGGAGGCTGAGGCAGGAGAATCACCATGAGTTCAAGCCCTGCCTGGGCTACATAGTGAGACCCTATCTCAAAAAAGCAAAAAATAAAAATAAAATAAAATATCTCTCTACCCCTACAAAACCCCAGTGACTCTTCCAGCCATCAGGGCATACTGATGTCTCCAATTGCACTTCACCTCCTCAGGGCTCAGCCTCCTGTTCTGCCTCCTGCATCCGGAGCTGTGACTCCCTTCTGAGGGTCAGATGCACCCACTGTTCCGCTGACTGTGTATCCCCAGGCTGTCTGACGGCTCCTATGTGGTGACCACCCCCACACTCACCCCCTCCCTGTGGCCTCTCCTGCCTACCTGCTGCCCTTGTACCCCCTGGGCAGGTGCCTGCTCAGGCCCAGACCCTCAGGGCACTCGGTCCTCTCGGCCTCAAGAGAAGAACCTCAAGCTGGGGATTTAGCTCTGGTTTCGACGCCTGCCTCCCAAGCAAGCACAAGGACCTGAGTTCAGAGGGAACCTCAAACAGCCATCAGAGTGGCTTCAGATCCAAATTTTTCACAGAAGGAAGAAAAGGAAGAAGACAAAAAGAAAGGACCATTTTGTGTGTTATTCTGACAGCATTTTTTTTTTTTTTTTGTACCGGGGATCGAACTCAAACCACTGAGCTAAATTCCCAGCATTGTGTGTTATTCTGTTTAAGGGCTTAAATTTACAAGAATTCCTTGAAATTTTTATTGGACCATTAAAGCTGAAACACAGATATAGTTACATTGTAAAATTAAACCTGCAGCTTAAAATATTTAAGAGTTTAATTAGTGAGGTTTATTAATGGAAGTGAACACTTGGGAAAAGACTTTCCCTTAGGAGCAGTTGGTCCATTCACTGTATTTATAAATTGACTTACAGGGCCAGGGATTTAGCTCAGTGGTTCCACCACCTGCCTCGCAAGCTAAGGACCCAAGTTCGATCCCAAGTACCAAAAAAAAAAAAAATTGACTTACAAAACCAAAGCAAACCCTGAACCATCTTCACTGTTCTAAATTAGCTGAGCATGAACATGAACCCTAGTGACCCCAGCACTTGGGAGGCTGAGGCAGGAAGATTCTAAGTGCAAGGCAAGGCTAGCCTAGGCAACATAACAAGACCCTGTTTCAAAAAAAAAGGTAACAAAAATTCACACTGACACAGCCTGGGATTGTAAATTCCCACAAAAACCAGGGTGCAACTATAGCCAGGCATGGTGGCACATTTGTGTAATCCCAGCACTCAGGAGGCTGAAACAGGAAGATCACTGTACGTCAAGGCCAGCCTGGGCTGCATTAATGAGACTCTGTCTAAAAATAAGAAAGAAAAAAAGCAGTATGCAATTATAACTTTTGCCACCTAAAATGTTTCCAGAAAGAGGCCTAAATTCTGCAAGACCAGTCCACCCAGCCCTTCCTTCTGTTGAAGGCAAATGGAATGTGGCAGTGAAGTGCTCAGGGGTGACAGTGATTTCCTAGGGCAAGACACTAGGGAGAGGTGTCACACATTTCACAAACCTCACTGAACTATTCTGTTCAAATCTGCATCTTTTTGGGGAAGTGGAATACTAGGGATTGAACTGAGGGCCTTCACACTGAGCTATGACAGGAGCCCTTTTTTATTTTTAAATTTTTTTTGTTCTTGTTGTTTATTTTTTTGAGACAGGGTCTTGCTATGTAGTTCAGGCTGGCTTTGAACTCACTATGTAGCCCTGGCTGCCCTCGAACTCACAGAGATCTACCTGCCTCAGCCTCCCACATGCTAGGATGACAGCAGTGCACCACCACACCCGGCTATTTTTAAAGTTTGATTGTGATACTTGAAAAAAATATATATATTTGAGACAAGGTTTCACTAAGTCACTAAGTGGCCCAGGTTAGGCTCGTACTAGCAATTCTCCTGTCTCAGTCACCCAGATTCTGGAATTACAGGCATGTGCTATCATGCCCGGCAAATCAGCACCTTTTTTTTTTTAATGATAAGTATGTTTCAGTGAAAAGCTTCCTTGGAAATAAGTACATTAATTACTTAGGTATTAAAAGTGCTTGCAGATGAAGGCGGGGGATTTAGCTCAGTGGTGCTGCTGCCTGCCCCGTAAGTGCAAGGACTCGAATTTGATCCCTGGTACCAAAAAAAAAAAGTGCTTGCAGAAATATTTCAGAACTGATCAGATAATCAACAGAAAGGCAGGCGTTAAGCAAGCAAGGATGTATAACCTGCCTCTAATGATGAGCAATCCTCACGCTGCAGGTCAAAGTCTAGATTCTTCTTCCTTTCTGTTGATTATCTTATCAGCTCTTAAATAATACTCCTGCAAGCATAGGGTTGATATCCAGGGCCGGGGATTTAGCTCAGTGGTTCCACAGCCTGCCCTGCAAGTGCAAGGACTCAAGTTTGATCCCTGGTACCAAAAAAAAAAAAAAAAAAGATATCCTGCCTGGGGTATTTTTCCCCCCATACTGGGAATCAAACTCAGGACCTTGCACTTGCCAGGCAGGTGCAGTGCCGCTGAGCTAAATCCCTGGCTCTTTATTTTTTATTTTGAGACAGGTGCTTGGCAAATTGTTGAGTTGCCCAGCCTGGGGTCAAAATTTTGACCTTCCTGCCTCAGCCTCCAGAGTGCTGAGATTACACATGTTCAAACCACACCAGGCACTTTGTGGCTGTCTGAAATACTTGGCTCCAAGGGGAGGCGACCCTGTTCCTTCTCTGATTTTGGCCAGTGAACTTATGGCCATTGTCTGGCAGGGTGTGTGAAAAAGGCTCCCATCGCCTCCCCCACCCTCCTTAGCCAGGGAGCACCTTTCAGAGAGACCTTTGGGGTCCACATTGTCCTCAATCAGAACCAAGGACTCAGAGGGAAGAACGCCCTCACTGCTTCTGTTCAGAGTGGTTTGCTTTTTCTACATTTTAAGGCTGCAGGGTATGGGAGCTTCAGTCCATTATGAATTTGCTGCAGACAGAATCCCCCACTGGGGAAAGATCCTTTTATTCCTGGTATTTTTGTCTACAGGTTCTAGTTATCAGTTTAGGACTTTTCTAAAAGTGGAAGGAGCCAGAAGATCCCATCCTTTTTTTTAAACTGATGCAAAATGTTTATTCCAAGTTAGTTATTTTATGCAGTAACTTTCTCATTCAACTCGAGTGAGACAACAGAAGGCCCCATCTTTTTAAATCTGTAAAGAATGTTATCAAAATAATCTTTTTTTGGGCTGGGGATTTAGCTCAGTGGTTCTGCTGCCTGCCTCACAGCGCAAGGTCCCAAGTTCGATCCCCAGTACCAAAAAAAAAAAAAAAAAAATCTTTTTTTGAAAATAATCTTAATCTCTGAAATCTCACAAAAGTTTCTATTTTACAATCCACCCTGAACATCAAGGCAGTTAGAATAACACATGTCCTATATCCAAATATTTTACCTCTGTACCCCTCAAAAAGAAAAACAAAAACAAAAAACCCTATGCTTCATTAAGGGCTGAAGTTACCTGAGCAGCCATAAATAAAATAAAATATCCAAATTATTAGCACTAATTTACTACAATTATGACTTCAGTAGTC